ATCCCAAGCAGGCTCCATGCTCAACGCAGAGACTGACTCGGGCTTGATCCCACGACCCTGGGATCATGACCTGAGCCAAAATCAAGAGTCACATGCTTAACTGACTGAGCCACTCAGGCACCCCAGCCCCACCCCCTCTTCTCCCGGGTCCCTTGTTTTGTTTTCCAGCACAGGGCATCTGGTCAAAGGCGTGACGTGCTCGCACATTGATGCCATGAATGCGGACTCCTTTCTGGCCCATTTCCACTATTTTGAGAACAACCTCTCCCTGCTCTCACCGTATCAGGTACCGTCGTAGCACATTCATGCCTCTCGTTCTCTCTTCTTGCCCCAATCGTGGGCCTTGATGGACTGTGGTGGCTTAAGATATTTGTGCCAAGATATATATTCCCATGCAGGTGATGACGTGGGGCCAAATACTGAGCCAGGTTTTTCTCCAGTTTCTCTTTTAAAAAAGTTCCAGATAACCCATCTCTACAGCCAGAGCTTCAACAGATGGGTTATTCCATACGTAGATCTGAACCTTAAAATCCAGTGGTAGGGTATACAATTTCTCATATTCCTAATTATGTCCTCCTGAGACCGAAGGTCGTTCCCTCCTTCCCAGCCTTTCCAGGGGTAACCTGGAATAGGAACAATACTCCAAGGAGAGTACTTTCATTCTTCATTTAATACTTCATTTTCCAAATGGCTAGGGAGGCTCGTTAACTCTTTGGGGAGACCAGAGGCAGACACTGACTTTTTAGTGGATCTAAGCAAGTAAAGGTAGGCCTTGGGAACAGCATTTGGACTTGGAAGTGTAAACTGTTGGTGATACGGGATCCAGAGAGGGTGAGCGGGCAGATGTACAAGGCATCTTCCCAACTCAGGCCTGAGTGTTGCAGATCTGAATGAAAAGTTTCCAACCAACGAATTCTCTTCCCAAGAGCCAGGAAGTAAGAGTAAAGCTTGGTGTATAATCCTTTGAGGTCATTGGTGGACTATGCAAAAACTTCACAAAGCTCTGCCATTCCATTGGATTGTCCGTTGTGTCAGTGGTTCCCAAATGTGAGCATCGGCATTACCTGGAAGGCTGGAGTTGTTTGATGGGTATAAAGTTTCAGTGTTGCTAGATGAATAAGTTCTAGAAATCTGCTGTGCAGCGCTGTGCCTGTAATTAACAATATGATATTGTGCACTTCAGAATTTGTTAAGAGGGTAGCTCTCACGTTAAGTGCTCTTACCACAAAAACAGAAACAAAGAGACACAAGGAAACTGGGAGGTGTTGGATGTGTCTGTTACCTTGCTTGTCATAATGGCATCATGGTGTTTGCATGTGTCCAAACTCATCACAGTGTACCCGTTAAATACGTGCAGGTCTTTGCATATCAGTATTCCTCAGTGAAGCTGTTAAAAACACACAGAATAAAAAAAGAAAAGCCAACGCAGATTACAGAGCCTCACTGGCAGTTTCCCTTCCCTTACAGTAAGCCTGGGGTGAAGCCTCCTAATTGACATTTCCAGCAGTTCCCTGGTGAGAACTATTGACCCAGGCAGGGAGGAAAGCAAATTATTTCTGGAACCTGGACCCCGGCATGGTTGTGTCCTTTATACTCATCACACCGATCCAATGGATGGAGGTCAGACCCACTTTGAGGAAGACCTACACGTTCAAAGAGGAAGAATTGTCCCGACAAAGCTCCTGACCTAGAATCCTCCCATTCTCAGGATGTTCAAATACCAGTTAATTAGAAAATTTGCCTTTATTGTTTACATTTTTGCTGAAAATACATAATTATCATAAAAAAATAAGACAATATAGAGAGAGCAAATGTTCCCCCCCATTTCCCCTGGAGCAGTGATTCTCAGAGCACTGTTTGGCCAAATCTGGAGACACTTTGGGTTGTTACTCCTGGGGGAGATGCCACTGGTATCCATTGAGTAGAGGCCAGAGATGCTGCTTCCTAACTACAATGCGGCCCCACACAAAAGGACTCTCCAACCCAAAATGGCAAAGGATCTAAGATTGAGAGTCCCTGCTCTTAAGGTAACCACAAGGAAAGTTTGTTATCAACTTTGAGAGGTTTTTTTGGTGTGTATAAAACATATGTACGTGTAATTAAAAAAAAAACCACAAATGAGTTCATACTATATACACTGTTCTGTTTCGCTCTGTAACACGGGTGTATGTATATAAAATAGGACCTGGCCATCATTCCAGTGTTCACAGATACAAGTCTACCTTATTGAAACAAAACCGTTGCACAGCATTCGGTTATGTGGATATACCACAGTTTATGTCACCAATCCCAAACCCAGAGACAGTCAAGTTGTATCTCTGTTAAAAGGTAAACTGAGGAGTATTAAAAATTTTAAGAGGTAATTTGAGCAAAAAATCGATTAGAATCAGGCAGCACCAAACAGGAAGTGGTTTGGAGCACTCTGGAAAGACTTATAGAGAGAAAGGTGCAGACGCAGAGAAAGGAAATTATTTGACTGGCTGTCGCTTAAAGCCCAGTTGGCTCTTTGTGATGGTTGTCGTCAGTGCTTTGATTTCATAACCTCGAGGCATTTACAGACTTAGATTTTGGTGTGCTCACTGAGGGCACCGTGTCATTAGGGCCACATTAGTCTAATGGCCTCCTTCTTTAAAAAAAAAAAAAATTTAACGTTTATTTATTTTTGAGAGAGACAGAGACAGAATGCGAGTGGGTTAGGGGCAGAGAGAGAAGGAGACACAGAAACCGAAATAGGCTCCAGGCTCTGAGCTGTCAGCACAGAGCCCGACGCGGGGCTCGAACTTGCAAGCCGCGAGATCTTGACCTGACCGAAGTTGGCCACTCAACCGACTGAGCCACCCAAGTGCCCCTAGTGGCCTCCTTCTTTAATTAATCTAATATCTTACTTCCTTGCAGTTATAAGCAAAACAGGGGAGCATTCTCAGACTTAAATTTTTGTATTCCCTTTGTGATTGCCTCAGTTTTCTCATCCATAAACTGGGCACAGTAGCAGTACCTACGTCGTAGGGTGTTTTATTAAATAGAAAGTAAGCGTATATAGAGCACTTAGCACAGTGCCTGGCCCACAGAAAGCACAGTCTGTGTTTTCTCTTATTACTACAGGACTAGATTCCTAGAACTGCTTTAATCTTTCAGGTTAATTGTTTGGCGTGGAAATACTGGGAGGTCTCCAGATCCTCTCTGCCGCCCTTCCTCTTGGCTGCCCTCCCGTAAGTGAACATTGGCTTCCCTCTCTGGCCCAAGAGTGAGATTGGTAGGAGCCATCCAAGTCATCTACCCCCGGGTTTTTGTGAGGAACCAGAGACAGAGTGGAGAGTGTCTTCCACGGTTAAGCCCTTGCAAATCAGGATTTAAATTCTGAGTCCCACGTAAACGTTTCAGACAGATGCTCTTGCTTTTTTTCGGTTATTTAAAAACCAAAGCCAAAGCAACCCAAGCCTGAGTGAATGTCCTTGACACAGGTCCCATCTGGGCTGGCCTCTCAGCTGTGCCAGGCTCCAAAGTGATCAGGGCTGATGTAAGTCATGGGGATTTCTCCTGGTACGTGTGGGCATTCAGACGTGGGAGGGCGCAGCCCTGCTTTTCATAGTCTGGACACTCTTTCCTCTTCTCTTTGTTTCCCTCTTCCTTCTCTTGCTGTTAATTGCCCTCATTTCTTCAAAAAATATTTACTGAGTGCTTACTGTGTCCTCAAAGATAATTTATTTTCCCCTGTACATGAGCTTACAATCTTGGGGAGGAGGAATAGACAAGCATGAAGTCAATTACAATGTCAAGTTGCTCTTTGGTTGAAAGTGATAAAGCCTTAGCTCAAACTGGCTTAGACAGTAAAAGGCAGTTTTGGTTCCAGGTAACTGGAAAATCCAGGGATAGACTTCAGGCATGGCTGGATCCAGGGTCTCAGTGGTCATCTATCTGTCTTTTACCCCAGCTTTCCTCTATAGGCTTCTCTATTAGACAACTTCTTTCTCTGTGGTTGTGTCTGGCCGATTCAAGGTTATATCTTCCTGGTTAAAAGACTTTTTCCCCTCATCCTTCTCAATAAGTTTTGAGTCTGACTGAGATTAGGGGAGATGGGTAGCTTTGACTGGCTTAGTTTGGTATTACATCCCCGGAGCCAAGAGTGAAGCGGGGTCCACTCCAAACCGCAAGGTTTTCGAGTGAAGCGGGTGGTTCTCTAAGAGAGCCAGGTGCTGCTACCATGGGAAGGAGTGAAAGGCACAGGGCACGGAGGGGGACTTGTCTCCTTCCGACTGGAGAGTCGGAGGAGACTAAAGTAAAGCTCAGAGAAGGAGCTGGCGTTTTGGAGTTCGAGATGGACACTCCAGGCAGGGGCACAAGGGATGTTTGGTTCAGTGAAGCACTCTGGGGAATGCATGGTGTGTGTCTGCAGAGTAGCTGCGAGAGAGAAGGCCAGAGAGGTAAGGGACAGTCCAGTCAGGGAGGGCCTCTGTGACACCCTGAGGTATTCCTCCTGTATTCCTGGCACGATCCTCAGGTTTATGTTTCAGAGAGATGGTTACCTCTGTCCATGCAGTGGATGGACGGGGGGCCTGGCTGGAAGGAGGGAGACAGTGAAAGCTTGTTTCTACAGCCTGGCCCTTGGCATGGCTGTTTCTTTCCACTCATCCACATCCCAGCTTAAATACCTCTGTCTTAGAACGGGCCCCCCAGCTGTCCTTACCATCATTCTCCACTGCAGAGCCATTTTCATTTATCACTGGCTGAAATGGCCTGTTTTATTCACTGGTTTCTGTTGTCTTTACTAGGATGAAGTATCCTGAGAGCGAGCACCTGCCCCTCATGTTGTGTTCATGCCCAGTACAGTGCCTGGCAGGCAGCATTCAGATTTGCTGAATGAATGAAGAGATAAATAAAACCTCAGTACTGTGAATGGAGAGGGGAGAACAGATTTGAGTAATACTAAGTTGGTAGCAATGACAGATTTGGGGTTAAAGGGAATAAGACATCTGGGATGGCATAGAGGAAGAAGAACCTGTAGAATTTGGTTTTGGAACAGTCTAGTGATCATGATGAGTAGGCCGTATGGGTCTAGAGCAGTCTTTCTCAACTTTTGTTTCATCATTGCCTCCCTAAAGGGAACAATTTAATTTCTCTGGAATGAGAGAATTTATCAGGAATAAGATTTTGTTGAATAGAGTTGAGCTTTAGTGGGTCACAAATCATTGTAATAACTAAGTTTTTTTTTTCACTCCCTCTCTCTACCTGAACCGGTTTTTCCCCCTTGGGGGCCATATTGCCTCTGTTAAGAATACATGGTCAAGAGTTTGGGGGATTCTACCCCGGAGATGCCAGAATTGGGTGTCATTTCTCTTACTTTCTCTGCTCTCTCCTGTCTTTCTTACTTTCTATTTTATTCTCTCTTCTTTGTCTCTTCTACTTTTTCTCTTTCTTTCCCTTCATCTCCCCTCAGCCAGTCCATCAGTCAACATATGTTTATGGAGACCCCATTCCCTGATCATTGCTACTGGGGCATAGAAGAGAAGCATGATGGGAGTTTGCTTCCCGATCATAGGAGAGGGGCATGGGGAAGAGGAGCGTGATGGGTGGGAGGCTTGCTACCTGCCAAGAGGAGTCACATCACTGGGGAGAACGAACGTTTAAAGAATGGTCCTGGGATAAGCTCTTGGGCATGTGAAGGCTGATTTCAGGGGCAAATGCAGAACAGCCACTGTTCCCTCCTCTCTCATTCTTCTGTCTCTTTCCAGGGCTCACTACCTGGCTTCTGTCCCAGCTTCCCAGTGTGTGCCCTTTCTGATCAGCCTGGGGAAGAGTCGGTTGGACTCCTTGGTTTTAGATACCCACAAGAAGAATTCAGTCCTTAGGAAGGTACAGCAGTGCCTGGTAAGGAAACTCTTTCTGGTTGGCACTTTCCCTGGGGTCCCTTCCCCTCTGGGTATCTTGGCCATCCTGGGGAGCCCTCAGGGAATCTGGCTGGGATCTTGAGCTTGTGGTGATGGCCAGAAGTCTGACTTGTAGGTCTCAAAGTTGGTCCTGGAGCCCTGGGTGGGACAGTCTTGGCCATTGGTTTTGAGGACTGTCATCCTGGGACTTGAATGATGGGAGGCTGGTGTGGGGACTAGAAAGATCACAGTACACAGAGTCTGGGATCTAGACTGGCCTCTGGCAGTGATTGTTTGTGTGGCTTCCAGCAAGCCACTTCCTCTCTCTGAGCCTCAGTCTTCTCATCCCTAAGATGGGTGCAAGAGCACTTCCTGCACAAAGTTATTAAGGGCATGAAATAGGCAATATATTGTTCAGTGCCAAGGCCCAAAGGGCGGACTGAGTGTAAATCCCAGCCTTGCCACTGGCTGGCAGTTTGTCTTTAAAAAAGTGAATAATGCAGGGGCACCTGGGTGTCTCAGTCGGTTAAGCATCCGACTTTGGCTCAGGTCATGATCTTGCCATTTGTGAGTTCGAGCCCCCGTCGGGTTCTGTGCTGACAGCTCAGACCCTGGAGGCTGCTTTGGATTCTGTGTCTCCCTCTCTCTGCTCCTCCCCTGCTTGCACTTTGTCTCTCAAAAATGAATAAATGTTAAAAAATTTTTTTTAAAAGTGGGTGATATTAGTACTTATCCCTTACAGATACTTTGAAGATGGAGATTAAGACCTGGCATGTATTAAGCACTCAAATGTTACCTACTTTGGTCATTTGGGGAAAGAGCCTTAGAGGCTTTCTAGTCCCATCCACAGTTTGAGGTGCTGTTTTTATTATTGTTGTAGTATTAGAATGGTTGTTGAACTCTGGGGTAACCTCCCAGCAGTGGCACCAGTGATGACGTCAGCCCTCATTTATGGAGTGTCCACCATGTGCCGAGTCTCCTGCCCTCACCGGCCCCTTGGTGGGGCCTTCTAGCTCCCGAGGCCTGCATCCCTGGGGTAAAATCAGACCCTGTGCTGTCATTACTAGTCCATGGTGGGGCGGGTGATTCAGATCCTGGAACCTTGACGAGGTTTGGGATCGGGATGGGTTGTTGAGGGGTCACGGTCTTGAACCCTGCTGGATCTTCCCATCAGCTCCACTTGTCGGTTTCAGAACAACTCCATTGCCGATGAGTTCATGGTAGACATCGTGGGGGACCTGCTCTGCCACTTGCCGGCAGCCACCATCCACCACGGGGTCTCCCCCCGGGCTTGGGCCACAGCCCTGCATAGACTCCGAGACTGCCCGCACCTCAGCCCGGAGCAGAAGGCTGCAGTGAGGCTCAGGCTCCTGGAACAGCATGGGTGAGGAGGGGCTGGGGCTCACTTTGGGGTGGGGTGCAGGCTCTGGGGCACCGAGCCCTGGTGCTCCTGCCCTTAAAACAGAGACAGTCTTGGGGTCCCTGGATGGCTCAGTCGGTTAAGCCTCTGACTTCGGCTCAGGTCATGATCTCACGGCTCGTGGGTTCGAGCCCCACGTCGGACTCTGTGCTGACAGCTCAGAGCCTGGAGCCTGCTTCGGGTTCTGTGTCTCCCTCTCTCTCTGCCCCTCCCCAGCTCACACTCTGTCTCTCTCTCTCTCTCTCTCTCTCTCTCAAATAAGTACCATTAAAAAAATTTAAAAATATCCCGAAAAACCCAGAGAGAGTCTCTAGTTTAGGGCAAGGTTAGATGCTTATGTTTATTCTAGAAGGGTCTGGCTTACATTTATTCTAGAAATGTGACCTTTTTTTGGCCTCAGATGCCCTGTAAAATGACAGTAACAGTGGCCACTCATGTGGTTGTCACCAATACATCTTGGCTTATGTAAAGTTTTTGGAACAATGGCACTTTACAATTGCAGGGAGGTGGCATTATTGTTCTTGTGAAATAACAATGGCAATAATAATCATGCAACTAATTGAACTACTGTCAGCTCAGTGGGGGAGCTCTCTGGAGGAACACAGAACTGTTGTCTCTCATGTAGAGTCTTCTGAAGTTAGGGCAGATATTTGAGTAGGGCCTAACCATCAGTCAGCGGTTAAACAGCAAATGTTTGTGGAGCAATTACCATGTCCCAGGCACTGCCCTTTTATATACAGTTTAAGATCATGGACTCAGAAGGCCGACTCCTTGGGTTAAAATTTTGTTTGTATCATTTATTGTGTGTGTGACCTGGGAAAACCTACTTAATCTTTTTGCACTTTAATTTCCTTTCTTTTAACATTTTTTTAAAAAGTTTATTTTTATTTATTTTGAGAGAGAGATAAAGAGCAAGCAGGGGAGGGGCAGAGAGAGAAGGAGACAGAATCCCAAGCAGGCTCTGTGCTGTCAGCTCAGAGCCTGATGCGGGGGCTCAAACTCACGAACTGTGAGATCATGACTTGAGCTGAAGTCAAGAGTCGGACGCTTAACCGACTGAGCCACCCAGGCACCCCATGCACTTTAATTTCTACACCTGTAGGACGGGGACAGTAGTGGAAGAAGAAGGGGAGGAAGGAAAGGTTGTGATATAAATGACAGAAATCCAACAATTCAATTCAGGCTAACAAAAGGGAATTTACTGAGTTCAGAAATAGAATGTAACTAAAAACTGCAGGGGTATACTTCACACATGACTGGATCCAGAGGCTCAAGCGATGTTGTCGGGAATATGCTCCTCCCATCCCTCAGCTCTGTGTTCCTTGGTGTGGCCTTTATTTTCTGCACTTGGTAACAGGAACCGCTTCCAATGTCCTCTTTACTGCTGGGGATACCAGAAGAAAGAGAGTCTAGTTCCAACAAAATCCCCAAGGGTGGCTCGGTGTCCTGCATGTGATATCCTGCATCACGTGCCTGTTTTCTTGGTCGGGGAAGTGGGACTTGTCCACGTATGAAATCTGTTCCTGCAAGAAAAGATTGCTGGGAGGGGCACCTGGGTGCCTCAGTTGGTTGAGCGTCTGACTTCAGCTCAGGTTATGATCTCACAGTTTGTGGGTTTGAGCCCCACGTCGGGCTCTGTGCTGACAGCTCAGAGCCTGGAGCCTGCTTCAGAGTCTGTGTCTCCCTCTGTCTCTGCCCCTCCCCCACTCATGCTCTGTGTCTCTGCCTCAAAAATAATAGACATTAAAACACATTTTTTAAAAATTAAAAAAAAAAAAAAAAGAAAAGGATGCTGCGAGTCAGGGACAACAGCATGGTTTTTCAGTTCACTGCTTATCATCTCTTCGTAGACTCCCCGGGAACTGGACAGCTGAGACTACGAAGGACTTGGGACCCTTTCTAGTACTTTTCTCAGGAGATGAATTAAGCTCTATTGCCACAAAGGTACTTCTGTGGGGTTTACTGCCCCTTTGCTTTCTGGAACCTATCCTCCCTGCTTCACAGGGCTCAGATGTTTCCAGCTCCACTCCAGGATGTCTGAGGTTTGGAGAAAGGGAGTGAGGCAACAGCGAATCCCACTCTGGGCTTTTCACATGGCCCTTCAGACAGATGTGCACAGATGGGAGCTGTTAGCTACCACTCTGCTATCCATGAGCTTCCCACATGCATGCCTGTTCAAGGGCTTACACCTTCCAGTGCCATAGGCACATGCACACTTCGTCCAATGTGTATAATCACGTGCACAAACACATTTAATCCAGAACCAGAACCTCATGGGGCATTGCCTTTGGGCACATGCTTTGCTTGGAGCAGGTCTCCAAAATTAGACGGTCTAGACTAAGAGTCATGCCAGGTAAGCATAAATGCCTCATCTTTTGCTACATAATGAAGCCACACAATCTCACTGGCATACAGCAATAAGCATTAATTTCTTGCTGACTGGTCTGTGGGTCACCAGGACAGTTCTGCTTCTGGGGCCCAGGCTCCCTGAGGCTCGTTCTTCTCACCACGAAGGTCTGAAACTCCAGAAAAGGGAGCACCGAAGTGCAGTTTTTCTAAAGCCTACACAGGGAAATGGCACACTGTCACTTTCCATTGGTCAAAGCAAGTCACATGACTGAGCCCAACCTCAGGGCGGGGATAGGAAGTAGTCTCCATGCACAAGTGGAGGGTGGGGAGGGAGTGAATGTTTCCTGGACAAGATTCAGATGGACTGCAAGGCACGTCCACGTGCTCTCATCCCTGTACATGCACCTGCAAGATGTACATTGTCACCTGTGCTCAGAAGGACCTGAACGTGGCCTATCACCCAGGTTCACACATATGCACAGCACACATTCCAGTGTCCATGCATGGTAAAATCATCTTCTGGTGTGTCCAAACATACAGTCATAAGCAGCAGATATATACATACATATATATATTATACACACACACACACACACACACACAGACATATACATATATATATGATATATGTGATATACTTACATATTATATACTTATTTTCTAAAGATCAACTTTTGAAATGGAAAAAGTTTTGTCTCCACATGGTTACATCTCAAAAACACAGTGTAAGGTAGGGTTAAAAAAAGGCAAGTTGCAAAAGAATATGTATAGTAGGATACTAAGTAAATTAGCAGATACTAGTTAAATTTTGTTTTCACTGTGAAAATGCTTTAATGGTGGGTTTTTTTTCCCCACTGTGGAAATAGTTACATTAATTTTAAGTACATGCAAAACAGTTCTACATGTAAGACAAGTTTAGGAGTGCATGAGAATGGTTAGTGCTCAATTCAGGGTGATGGTTCGTTCCTTCTCTGGAAGGAAGGAGACCAAAGAGTGAGGCAAGGACCCATCAATTATATTTGTGATGTTTAATTTTTAAGCTAGGTTGTGGGTACATGGGTGTTGTGTTGTATTATTCTCTCTACCTTTTTTTTAATGACAGAAATGTTTAATAAAACAAGTAGTACATACTCCTGTTAAGAAATTTCAACTGTACCAGAAGCTACAAGATGACAGGACGTCTCCCTCCCACTCCCCAGCCTGCCTCCCCAAAGACAATTGCTTTTCCTAGATTCTTCTGCATCCTTCCATAAAAACCCTCCTCCTGCTTATATGTGTTCTTCCTTTAAAAAACGCAAAATGGAAAATACCATTCACTCTACTGTGCATGTTGCTGTTTAACAGTTAACCATCTCTCTTGTGAGTTGCATGTGACCTTAGCTGCCCATGAGAATCACTGGAGAGATTCTAAAAGGACACATACATGGCCTCCACCCCAGGCCAATTGTCTTAGAATCTCTGGAGTGGGGCCTGAGTATATGTAGATTTCCCAGGTGATTGTCACCGACAGCCAAGATGGAACTACTGGCTTAGAATGTGACTCAAATTCTGAAGGTTAGAACAGAAAGAGGAACTCTCGAAACCTGAGGTGCATTCTCTTTGGACCGAGTGGGACACAGTGATGCACAGCTGTGTGAGCGAGTTTGACGAATGCTCTGGGCTCATGAACACGTCTACCTGAGTCTTGACAAAGATCCTGAGTCTTGACAAATTGCATTGGTTCTAGATTAGAAATGGTACCTTCTTCAGGCTACCTCTGGAAGCCGCTTCATTGCTGGTTTCCACCCAGAATTAGACATAACCCTCTTTTCCTCTTTTTTGATGATAAATAGAAAGTTTAGTAAAAATTTAGGAACAGTACCAGATCAAAATGGGGTAGGCTCACCTACATTTTTTACAGAAATTATCAGGTTGCTCCAGTAATGATGCACCATTTAACAGTCCCATAGAAAAATAAATGTGTGTATTTACTGCATTTGTTCAGCATTAAGTAATAGCTTTTTTTTTTTTAGGTAATATCACTTTATTTTATTTTTGGCAGTCTGATAGGTAAAAAACAATATATACTCGTGTTATTGAACATTTATTGGATGCTATTGAGGTTAAGTATTATTTTATATGATTCTTCGTAGAGAACAAATTAGTTGAGCTAGGAGATAAATTTATATAAGAAGCTGCTATAAAAGAAAAACAACCCCTGAGGGAGTAAGTAGTATCACAGTTTAAGTCTGTGTTTAATGTGCCTTAATTATTATTCATTCCTCCTCCTTCCTCTTCTTCCCCCCACACAGTTTCCTGATATCCTTCAACAAACAGCTTCCAAGATGGCCGGGACTTTGCTCCCCAAAGAATTCCTCTGGGCTGTCTTTGAATCTGTCCGGAACAGCAGTGAGAAGAGCCTCAGCTCTGACCCCAGCCCTGGTGAGTGTTTCCGGGGTGTCTGAGCTGGAGCTATGGCGGCAATGTTTGGGCTGAGTCCCTGGCATGAAGAGGCCTCCTCGTCCAGGGGGCTGGTTGAAACGTTTGCAAGGCAGTGGCATGGCAAAAAGCCATAGACCAAAGAACTACACCTTTGGAAAAGTGATTTGGAATCACGTCTTCCACTCCTTCCCCAGACCAGTGGGTTAAATGGTGAATGCGTGCAACACACATTTCAAAAAGATTGACTTAAAGGGTCTAAATGGCTGAGTGACTGGGCATTGCAGTGCTGGGGCCAGGCTGGCCGGTGTGAACCTTGGATCTGCTGCTTACTGGCTGTGTGCCTTTGGGTAAGCCCTTTAACCTCTCTGTGCCTCAGTGTTCATCGTCTGTAAGATGGGGACAATGAAAGTCTCTACCTTATTAGGTTATTATGAGAGTTAATGGATTTGAACCTGTAAATGTGTTCACAACATTGCCTGGCATGTAGGAAGTGCTCAGTAAGTGTGAGATACTTTTATGACTTTTGTGCACCCACGAAGCACAGACTTGTGCCAGGCAGGAGGAGGCAAGGTTAATCGGACCCAATCATAATTGTAATAATAATCATTGGCAGCCAGTGCTCCCTTGCTTTCCTGCAACAAATAATTACTGAGCGCCGGCTCTGTGAACAAAACAGACAAAAATCCCTGTCCTGGCAGAGCTTACTTTCAAGGGACCTGGGGGGGAGGGCAGGTGCCAGACAGTATAAATCACACACACAGTAAGTAAAAGACGTAGTAGATGGTGTGATGATGAGTGCCAAGAAGGAAGATAAAACAAGGGAAGGAAGGGGGTCAGGGGGTGTGGGGTGGGGGATTATAATTTGAAAAAAGATTTCAGATTCTGTGTCTCCCTCTCTCTCTGCCCCTCCCCTGTTCATGCTCTGTCTCTCTCTGTCTCAAAAATAAATAAACGTTAAAAAAAATTTTTTTTTTAATAATAATTTGAAAAAAGAATGGTGGATGCGGGTTTCACTGAGAAGGTGACCTTTCAGTAGACTCAGGGAGTGTGGGCGTGGACTGTGTGGACATGTAGTGTTGGACTCTTACGGGCAAATAGAAGTGTAACAGGAACGAGAAGGGATGGAAAATGAGAGGCCAGTGTGGCTGGAGCACACGAGAGGCAAGGCCACGTGGGGCCGTATAAAGGAAGTCCTAAGGACTTTGTCTTTGTCCTTGGGTTGGGGTGTCATGGGGGAATCGAGCAAAGAAGTGTCACAGTCTGATGTAGGTTTACCTCGGGTGGTCCTCTCTCCGTGCCCTGTCTCACCTCACCTCTGTACTATGATGTGGGTGCTGTGCTTGCTCCCATTTTCTTGACATGGGAAACTGAGGTTTAGAGGGGATTAAGAGACTTGGCCAAAGTCACTGAGTGAGTAATGGCAGCTCTTGGATTCGTACCCAGAGCTGGTGGTGATCTCCATTAGCTCCTCCTGCCCTCACGACCTAGCAGTGCCCTTGTCAGACGGCAGTGCTCCTACTCTGTGCATGTGGGTGTGCGAAGGTAAGACATGTCACATGCTGGCGAGGAGCCTCTGTTACCAGCACTCCATTGGGATTTTCTTTAGTGGTCTGGGTATTAGTTACTGCCGCACTTATAGTAATTAATGGATTAGCAGACTTACAACTTGGTTTCATTTTAGTTAATTTATATGTATGTGTTGATTCATTCAACAAATATTTGCCAAACACCTACTATGTGCCGGGCCTGGAACACAGCAGTGATAATACCAAGTCCCTGCTGCACTATTCAACCATTCTGTTCCTCTCTAATTCTGTATCACTGGATCCTGTTTTCCTGGGAAAGTGGGGTGGAGTGGGGGAGTCTAGGAAGGAGGTGTCTTTTGTGATAAAGATGCTTGAGGACCACACGTGGTGCCCTTGATCTGGTCTGATTTCCCCTCTTGACCAGAGTCCAGTGAGTTGCCATTGGTAAGGGAATGGCCACAGAGCTTGGGAATGCCCTGGCCCAGGTGGTGCTGGTGAGTCTGTGAGCCTCAGGGATAGACAGCTGCTAAGACAGGAAAGCCAGGATTGCTCTCAAGATAAGGAGCCCTGGTGGCTCTGGGTGGCTCAGTCGGTTGGGTGTCCCACTCTGGATTTCAGCTCGGGTCATGGTCTCACAGTTCATGGCTTTGAGCCCCTCATTGGACTTGCTGCTGGTAGTGTGGAGCCTGCTTCAGATTCTCTCTCTCTTGCTCCGTCCCTCTCCACCTCACTGTGTTTCTCAAAGTAAATGAATAAACTTAAAAAAGAGAGAGAGAGAGAGAGAGAGAGAGAGAGAGATGGTATCCTTAAAAAAAAAAAAAAAAAAAGACAAGGAGCGTTTGGTTTTCTCCCAGGTTGGGCATATCTGGGAGAAACATTTCGTTTGCGTGTTGATGCTGTGAGCTCATTTGACCAGATGAGGTTCAACTTATTCCGAGAGTGAAATGGACGGGTTTCTCCTGTTGTGAAGAAAACGCAACAGGTCCATTTCTCCTCTCCCTGAGGCAGTGGGAAGGCCATAGCCTCCCCGATGATTTTCATGGACAGCACATCATTCATCCTCCCTTCCCGCACCGAGAACTGAATGCTCCTTCCTCGTAATTCTGGGAGCTTTAACTCTGGGTTGCAAACTCAAATGTATGCAGGGGGGCTGCGGGTACATAGCTAATAAAGATAGCTAACACGTATTGAGCACTTACTGTATACCTGGCATTGTTCTAAGTGCCTCAGATGTAATAATACATTTAGCCTTCACAGAAGTTCCATGAGGTAATTTTATCCTTATTTTATGGACGAGGGAACTGAGGCAGACAGGGGTTATATAGTTTTGGATTTGAATCTGAAGCCAAAACTGTTCACCACCGGCTCCTACTGTCCTCCAGGCAATTTGGAGCCCCAATGAAACGTTGCAGAGCTCCTGCGGTGTGCATGTGGTGTGCAAAAAGTTGGCATTTCTGCAATTTCATTACCAGGTAATTAGCAAGAAGTTCCAGAAGTGGGATTTAGGCTGCTCCATGTGTCCCTGCTCTCAACGTCGACGCTAAGCTGCCTCTCGTGCATAAATCCAACTGGAGAAGGTTACTCGTTTCAATAAAGAAACAGACTAACGTGCCTGAAGCCCTCTTTCTTCTGTTCCTCCCCATTCTTCAGGTTGCCATGGAGTCGTGGCTCCTTCCTCTGGTGACATCTTCACGCTGGCTGAAGCCAATGCCTGCTGGGCCCCCGAGGACCTGCTCTGCATGGAGGAGCACACGTTCATCAGGAACGTGGAACTTCTGGGGTCTGTCAGGGGTTTCGACCAACCTCAGCTGATGACCCTGAAGGAGAAGGCAGTACAGGTAAAGCACATCAGGGTGGGAGTTTTCAACAGAGAGAAAACCCCAGAAGGACGGTCCCAGCATTTCTGTGGGCAGAGCCCACCCCAGGGGGTTTTCACTTGGTGTTACCGTGTTGCAGTTTCTCTGGATGAACCCAGTGCCGTAGGCGTGCTCTTCGCATCTGACAAATTTCTAGTTCCTCTCTCTTAGGGCTGTGGCAGAGAACAGACATGTGTCTTGGCATCTAATGGATGTTCAGTAAAAAGTTCTGTGGATGTTCTGGTGCCTCTGACTGAGACGGTTTCCAGGAACTGTGCCTTTTCTTTCTCCTCATGGAGGACCTCAGTTGCTGCTTACAGCAGGTTTTCTCAGAGGCTGTTGCGATTTTGTCGGAAAACATAGCAGAAAAAAGTGAAAAGAAGACTAGAAGTCATTTTTCATCTTTATAAAAGGGTCCCTTTGAGTGGCTCATTTCAGCCATTAGGATAGTTGTGGAATATCTAGTTACCTTTGTGGGGTTAAGGCATTAAATTTCTTAAAATTATATTTATAACTCTTTTTTATATAGATGACCCAAGTTTATTGTAGAAAGGTGGGAAAATAATAAAAAAGAAAATCGGTCATAATCTTCTACCTAGAGATAAGCACTGTTAACATTTTGGTATATTCACCTGAAGCTCCCCAGACTTCTGTATATGTGTATAAAATATATTTATATATTTCATGCGTGTATGTCATGTATACTTACACATATATGTTTCAAAAAATAGTATCGTGCTCACTCACTATTCAATAACTTGCTGTCCACACCCAACAGTATAAATGCATATTTTTCTTTATCAGAAATATAAATTTATATCAGCATTTTAAATAGCTATATAATATTTTGTTTTATGGCTGGTCCTTTTTTTTCCCTGTCCTTATTTATTTAGCAAATTGGTAGACTTTTAGGTTGCTTATATTTTTTTAATGCCTCAAAGTACGTATTTGTACATATTTCTTTGGATACTTGTCTCATTATTTACTTAGGATAAATTCCCAAGGTGGAATTTTGGGATCAAAGAGTGTAAATATTTGAAAAGCTATTGATACATATGACCAAGTTCCTCTCCAAAAAGTACGTACCAATTATATTCTCAACATCCACAAATGAGGGTATCCTTTATCCCATATCTCTTCAACACCATAAATGATCATTCTGTTTATCCCTTGTCAATATGATCAGGGATACAGGTACCAGATACATAGTATCTGGTGAATTGGTACCAGGGATACTAAGTTTAAAAAGTTATGACTAAGACTGAACTTTTTTCCATGTTTCTTCTTTTGTGAATTTCTTATTCATGTCTTTTTTTTTTTTTTTTGAAAATCAGTAAAACTCTGCTTCTGTTCTTTCACCATTAACAGAAAACTAGGGAAAGCAAAAATGTTTGTGTTTACAAGATAAATGGCCTTAGACAAAGCCTTAGTCCACTGGCCAGGGACCCTAGATGTGGCCAATTCAAGACGAGGGCCAAGAAATCAGACCAGTCCATTCCTGTGATACAAAGTTGTTCTGTTCATGTCTTTTGCATATATATATTTAAGTAAAAACAAGTGTAGTCATATTTTTCTTGTTGATTTTTAAGAGAATTTTATATATTAAAGAGATTTACCCTGTGTCTGTTTAAAATACTATTGGTAATGGTCAGTCTAATCTGGATTTTTTTTTTTTTTTTTTTTTTTTTTTGGCTTGAAGTTTTGGGACATGCCTTCTTACTGGAAAGAGTACCATATTGTCTCCCTGGGGCGCATTGCTCTGGCTCTTAATGAGAGTGAGCTGGAGCAGCTGGATCTCAGCTCCATTGACACTGTGGCTTCCCTCAGCCAGCAGACAGAATGGACCCCAGGACAGGTAGGTAGATGTTGCTGGATCTTTTAAATATCCCATTTTGGTCTTAATTTTCTGTATATTTTCCTTTATATCTTGAACATACAGTATTTATAATAACTGTTTTAAAATCTTTGCTGCCAGGGTTTCCTAGGTGGCTGGGTCAGTTAAGCGTCTGACTTCAGCTCAGGCATGATCTCACGGTTTATGGGTTTGAGCCCCATGTTGGGCTCTGTGCTGACAGCTCAGAGCCTAAAGCCTACTTCAGATTCTGTGTCTCCCTCTTTCTCTGCATCTCCCTTGTTCTCTCTCTCTCTCTCTGAAAAATAAATAAACATTGAAAAAAATTTAGGGGCGCCAGTATGGCTCAGTCAGTTGGACATCTGACTTTGGCTCGGGTCATGATCTCACGGTCTGTGAGTTCGAGCCCCATGTTGTGCTCTGTGCTGACAGCTCAGACTGGAGCCTGCTTCGGATTCGGTGTCTCCCTCTCTCTCTCCCCCTCCCCTGCTCACACTCTGTCTCTGTCAAAAATAAATGTTAAAAAAAATTTTTTTTTAAATAAAATAAAATTTTAAATCTTTGCTGCTAAATTTCCATCATCAGTCATTTCTGAGTTTGTTTCTATGGGCTAATTTTTCTCCTAGTTATGGGTCATGTATGGGTCATGGCTAGTAGTTTTGACTGGCTGATAGACATTGTGAATTTTATCTTTTTGAGTGCTTGATTTAGTTATACTCCTTTGAAGAGTATTTGGCTTTGTTCTGACATACATTTAAATTACTTTCTAATCAGTTTGGTCCTTCTGAGGCTTCTTTTTGAGTGTAATTAGGGTGAGTCCAGAGTGACCTTAATTCTCTAGTTAATTTGTCCCCATTACTCAGACATGATTCTTCTGGGGACTCTGTCTAATGTGTATGTATTTCAAGACCTTTCTGCTTTGGCTGGTGGGAATGTGTGTTCTCTTTCTAACTCCATACAAGCTCTGAGAATTGTTCAGCCTGCTGCTTTCTGATGCCTCTTCCTGGTATTTATGTGGATTTCACTTCTGGCCTGTGTAGATAGGTCAATACTGAGCCAGACCGGAGAAGACCTCTCTCTTCTGTGAAGTTTCTCTTCTGGTGTTCTGTCTCTCTCTCTCTGAACTTTCTTATTTTCCAGTACTTTCCCCCACAAATTACTGGTGCCCTGGCCTCCCTGACCTGGATCTCTGTATTTCCAACTCAGATGGACCACTGGGGTTTTGGGGTCCCTTCCCTGCTCCCTGGACTGCAAGCTGCTTCTGGGCCATAAGCAAGGGTGATTTTCGGACTCCTCTTATTTTCCCTCTTTCAGGATTATAGTCCTATGTTCTCCATTGTTCAGTGTCTGAATACAATTGTTTCTGTATTTTGTTCAGTGTTCTCGTTGTTTACGGTGGGAGGGTGATTCCTGTGTCACTTAATCCTTCATGGTTTAAAGAAGAACTCCCCAGAATTTAATTACTTCAACTGGGAGGGAAGTTAACCCACTGGATTGCTAGAAAGGGGAGTCTTAGCTGCTTCGTGGTATCTTCATTCTCAGGCAGCCCTCCCTCAGTGGTCATTTTCAACACCAGGTTTATATATTATCTACTTAGTAACCCCATAAAAAGAGTGCCTCTTTTGCATTAATTTTTTTTTACATTTTTTTAATGTTTATTTTTGAGAGAGAGAGAGAGAGAGACAGAGACAGAGCGCGAGTGGGGGAGGGGCAGAGAGAAGAGGGAGACACAGAATCTGAAGCAGGTTCCAGCTCTGAGTTTGTCAGCACAGAGCCCGACATGGGGCTCAAACCCATGGACTGGGACGTCATGACCTGAGCCAAAGTTGGACACCTAACCGACTGAGCCGCCCAGGCGCCCCTTTTTGCACTAATTTTTGAAAAAATTGCAGCATTGGCTGTAATTGCCCACTGCAAACCATCACTGTAGTCAGGAGTAGAGCAAGTTGGGTGGCCAGGCATGTGTCAGGGAGCGGAGTCCGTCTCAACATGACCCTGTGAACTGACAGTGGAGAATGGGAATGTGGGGGCTGCCTAAAGGCCCCCAAAGACATCTATGCCCCAATCCCTGGAACCTTGGAAGATGTTCCCTTATATGGCAAAAGAGATTTTTCAGAGATGATTAATTTAAGGATTTTGAGGTGGGAAGATTCTCCTGATGAGCCCGATGTAATCACAAGGGTCCTTATGAGAAGGAGGCAGGAGGCCACAGATACACAAGGACACAGAGAAAGATTCGAAGGCCCCAGGCTGCTGGTTCTGAAGAGGGAGGGTGCAGCTACAGGCACCCTGTGGAAGCTAGAAGAGGCAAGGAAACAACATTCTCTCGAGTTTCCAGGAGGAACACACCCTGCCGACCCATTTTAGGACTTAGGGCCTCCAGAAACGTAAGAGAATACATTTGTGTTGTGTGAAACCACTGACTCTGTGGCAATTTGTTACAGCAGCAAGAGGAAACAAATACAGGGGGGTTCACCAAAAGAAAAGCATGGTGTTCTCAAACACGGGGCGGGGGGGGGGGGGGGGGCACGGGTGCTGGGCAGGCAAAACCACTGCATGTCCCCCAGTTGTGTGAGCTTTTTGGAATCAGGATTCCATGATTCCAGGCAGGAATCCAGGATTCCAGGCAGCCATTCCACAGCCATGGCTGTGAGGGTTACACCAGTCAATACATGGGAAACATTTTGAACAATGCCTGGCACATAGTGTTCAGTAAAAAGTACTTTTTTTTTTTTTATTTTTTTTTTTAACGTTTATTTATTTTTGAGGCAGAGGGAGAGAGAAGAGAGAATGAGCGGGGGAGGGGCAGAGAGAGAGGGAGACACAGAATCGGAAGCAGGCTCCAGGCTCTGAGCCATCAGCCCAGAGCCCGGCGCGGGGCTCGAACTCACGGACCGCGAGATCGTGACCTGAGCTGACGTCGGAGGCTTAACCGACTGAGCCACCCAGGCGACCCTATACTTTTTTTTTTTTAATGTTTATGTATTTATTTTGAGAGAGAGTGAACGTGAACAAGGGAGGGGCAGAGAGAGGGGGAGAGAGGGAATGCCAAGCAGGCTCTGCACTGTCATGGGGCTCGAACCCCGGAACTGTGAGATCATGACTGGAGTCAAAATCAAGACTCGGACACTTAACCGACTAAGCCACCCAGGCGGCCCAGAAAGTAATTGTTTTCATTGTCATGGCCATCATCATCATCATCATCATCATCACCACACTTCCTCTCTCTGGAAGTTTAAAAGTTGCCTCAAAAAAAGAAAAGAAAAAAATAAGTTGCCTCATTTCCAAGATGGTCTAAACCAAGCAATTGGAGGTTCCTTCTATCCTGACGTTCCATAATGACTGGTTTTGACTGGTTTGGGAAGTGCCACCTCAGCCTTCAGATATTAAAATCCTTCTGTTTACAGTCCTGGAGGAAACAAATATATATCCAACTTAGAAACTGGAGTATCTCTTTCCCTTTGCACCAGTTTTAATCCCCATGGATGCCAGTGAGATTTATCAATATGTTTGAAGAGGATATGAAAACCTAACATTTGCATAGATCATTTGCAGTCAGTCCCTCAACTTTCGCTCCCAATCAAACCCTTAAATGCATGCTTCTAGATTAATAGACAGACCTGGCGGAACTATATTAACGGAGTTCAGTTTAAAAACCAATATAAGGGGGGGAGGAAACTATTAGAGAAGCCAGAGGGATGAACAGGGAGATTGAAATCTTAGAGCTATTCATTTTTCAGAGGGTTAATATTGCCTCAAAGTGTTAGTATTAATTGTCTGGGAATCATTACAGATACACTGGTCCAGTCATTCAAGTAAATATATTTTGGCTTATCACCTCGCAAGCTGAGCTTGCGTTTTCCGGGTTCCAGTGGTGAGGACAATTTAATACCGCGTCCTCAAAGTAATTTTATTTGATTGTATTTTTGCACTTTCATTTTAAAATGGGCACGCCTGATAGTTGAGGAGCACACATCGTTACGAGTCATCTAGTGAAACCTGATTTGGGAAGCCTTGATAGGAAATGTTCAAAAGCTACCTCGAATCTCTATGTTCTCGTCATACCCAGACATCTTCACAGGCTACGAGTACAGGCTCTGGAGTCAGACTGTGAACTTTGTAATCACTGAGGGAAGTTTCATGGAGAACCTGATCAGTCTGATTTGCAGGAACATGGGAAATCTTCCTGAAGCCAGTCCATGTGAAGGCAGCAATCCGATGCCATTTCTTTTGTTTGTTTGTTTGTTTGTTTGTTTGACATTTTTAAATGCTTTTTTTTTAAATTTGTATTTGAGAGAGAGAGAGAGAGACAGAGTGCAAGCAGGGGAGGGGGCAGAGAGAGAAGGAGACGCAGAATCCGAAGCCGGCTTCAGGCTCTGAGCTGTCAGCATAGAGCCCGACGTGGGGCTCAAACTCACAGACCGTGAGATCATGACCAGAGCTGAAGTTGGACGCTTAACCGACTGAGCCACCAGGCGCCCCAATCCAATGCCATTTCAAAGGGGGTACCTGTTGCCTACAACTTCTGTAGATCACTCACTCAGATATTCATTCATTCATTTAAAAAGTACTTACTGAACCAAACTGTGTGTCAGGCGTTGTACCAAGCAGTAGGGATTCAATAGCTAGCTGGATATTCTGTGCGTCTTGGGATTCTACGGTGGCACAGACAAAAAAGTGAGCACAGTGACAAGTGTTTCGAAATTGTGATAATTGATGGAGCACCTGGGTGGCTCAGTTAGTTAAGCGTCTGACTTTGGTTCTAATCTCCTGGTTCGTGGGTTTGAGCCCCATGTCGGACTCCGCACTGATAGCTCAGAGCCTAGAGCCTGCTTCAGATTCTGTGTCTCCCTTTCTTTCTGCCCCTTCCCTGCTTGTGTACTCTCTCTCTCTCTCTCAAAAATAAAATAAACATTAAAAAAATAAAATGACAATAATTGATAACAGAAAATGGGCAAGGTGCTCATAGAAATAGTCAAGGAAGGAGGCTATTTAAGATAGGTGAATCAGGGGAAGAGGTAGCGTGTAAGCAGACCTGAGGAGGGGTGCCTGGGTGGCTCAATGGGTTAAGCGTCCAACTCTTGATTTCAGCTCACGTCATGATCTTGGGGTTTGTGGGTTTCAGCCCTGTGCTGAACACAGAGCCTGCTTGGGATTCTCTCTCTCCCTCTCTCTCTGCCCCTTCTCAGCTCGCACTTTCTCTGTCTCTCTCAAAATAAATAAAGTAAATAAACAGACCTGAGGAATGGGGAGGCAGCAGACATGAAAAGTAGAAATCCAGTGCAACATTTCACAGTCTTTGTCAACACTTTCTCTTAACACTGTAATGATTCTTATTGTGTGATAAGGATGAACTAACTATTCTTATTGTGTGATAGGGATGAATTAAAAAGGGATGGTGGGGGTGTCTGGGTGGCTCAGTTAGTTAAGTGTCCAACTCATGATCTCAGCTCAGGTCTTGATCTCAGGGTCGTGAGTTCAAGCTCTACATTGGGCTCCAGGCTGGGTGTGAAGTCTACTTTAAAAAGAAGTAAAAGTAAAGGAGATGGGGGGCGCCTGGGTGGCGCAGTCGGTTGAGCGTCTGACTTCAGCCAGGTCACGATCTCGCGGTCCGTGGGTTCGAGCCCCGTGTCGGGCTCTAGGCTGATGGCTCAGAGCCTGGAGCCTGTTTCCGATTCTGTGTCTCCCTCTCTCTCTCTGCCCCTCCCCTGTTCATGCTCTGTCTCTCTCTGTCCCAAAAATAAATAAACATTGAAAAAAAAAATTAAAAAAAAAAAAAAGTAAAGGAGATGGGAAGACTCACTATATCCATGTGACCCTCACTCCCATTCAGATGTTTGTCCTTGGATGTCTCCTCCCTTTCTTTGCCTTGGGAGCTCTTGTCCTCTTGTAATCTTTTGCACCTGCCTGTATGAGCACTGAGGGATCCAGACTTTATTATACAGAGAATCTCCAAAGGCTTGACTTGAATCCTTCCTCAGGTCTGACATAAGTAGATCAAATGAATCAGGGTTCATTTAGTTACAAGTGGCAGAAAAAAACAACCCAAAGTGGCTTGACCAAGCAAAGGAATTTATTGGCTCCCTTAACTGAAAAGTTCAAGTAAAGAGTTCAGGTATGGCTGGATTCTGAGTCTGCAACACTATTGTAGAGAATCTGTCTCTCACCATCTTTTGACCCTACTTTCCTTTGCGTTGGCTTCAGTCAGAGGCAGGTTCTTTCCATGCAGTGAATTCTAGCAGGTTCAGGTGTTTATCCTTCCAAGGTCAGTCCAGAGAAAGACTGTCTTATTCCTCTATTTCAGTTAGGACATCCCTAATTATTCCAGCTAACGTCCTGGTTGGTTTTGACTGGATCACATGCCCAGTCTAGAACAAATCATGGCAGCCAAGCTGAGGGAAAACTTGACTAGTCGGGACTGGGCCATAGCATCACTTCTGGAACTCAGCAGGCAGTTCCTCCAGCTGAACCTCATGAAGTAAGAGTGTGGGAGGGGTGGCTCTCCAGGGAAAGTCGTGCACAATGAATGGCTACTGTGGAAGAATTTCAGGGAACCCTGCACATCCACACCAACCCCCTTGAATCAAAGCTCACTGAAGAGATTCCTCTGTGATTTTCTACACCAAAGCATTTGATATACTACTCTCTGGAATTGAAGAGAGAAGGACAAACCTATTTCTGTAGGACTTTAGAGAAAGAAAAATTCACTGTGGCCAAGATAGCCAGGGAAGACTTCATGAAGAAAGTGACATTTGACTTGAACCACTGCCCCTCCACCCCCCCACCGTCCCGCCCAAATAGAAAGCTGGTTGGATTATAACAGTTGGGGATGTAGGAAGTACATTTCGGATGGAGGGAATGATTTGAGCAAAGGCAAAGGAGCAGAATATTACAAGGTTTGTGAGACAGTGCTGGAAACAGATGCTGGAAAAGTTTGGATTCTGACGCAGGAGAACTTATGTGAGCAAACTATCTGAAGGTCATGAGTGACTGAGGAAAATACACCAGCAGACACAGGCACAGGCACAGGACACAGTTCCTTTCATGCTGCTGAAGGATACAAGAGTTTCACTGCCAGAAGACACCTCCCTGGATCAGGGGACACACTCAATGGAAGCAGCACCTTAGGGACACGAACATGGAGGCGGGGGCTAGGATGCTTCGGAATGGGAGTGTGTCCAGAGGAGTATGGGTGAGGGATTGGTCCAGAGGCTACTGATCTAGCTCTGTTATTCCCTCCTAGTCTCTGGATGGTTCATCTTTATTCTTCCTTATTTTTTATAGGCTAAATCCATTCTGCAAGGATTCCTGGAGGATGCAGGCTATCGTATCCAGGATCTGAAGAGTTTCCACTTAGTAGGACTTGGTACAACCTTGTGTGCTATGAACATCACTGAAGTCTCACTTATAAAAATCTCAGAATTCAGGTAACCAGACCAGTTGTGTGCACAATGGCAAATGATTGACCAGCTCATTCGTCCAGCAACATGTTCTCCGCTTCCTGATGCTTTGCCGCCTTTCTGGGCTAAGATAAGGAGTGGAGTCAGCTGGACCCTTTCTGGATGCTTGGCCTACCTATCTTTTTTTTTTTTTTTTTTTTTTTAATGTTTGTTATTTATTTGAGAGAGAGCAAGCATGGGAAGGGCAGAGAGAGAATCCCAAGCAGGCCCCATGCTGTCATCACAGAGCCTGACGCAGGGCTTGATCCCACGAACCATGAGATCATGACCTGAGCTGAAACCAAGAGTCAGATGCTTATTAACTGAGCCGCTCAGGCCCCGAGCCTGCCTACTTTCTGCACACCAGTTGTGTCTGAAGAGTCTCCCAGGCTCACACTATATTCTTCCCTCTTACATAGGGTGGTGGTGGCCAGAATCGGAACCCTGCTCTGCAGCACCCATGTCTTGGCTGAGTTTAAGAGGAAGGCAGAAGTTGTATTTGGGGATCCCGCCAAGTGGTCCGGCCCTGTCTTGCAGGAGCTCGGGACCATTGCAGGTAAGAGGCACCTTGAGCATGCCTTCTCTCCCTTTCCAACCTTTGTCCTGGGGACAAAAGCAAATAATAATAATAATAATAATAATAATAATAATAGAATCCTTGGCTGTGTGTAGTGAACATCTCTAAGGTTACAGTGGAACCTAGATTCATGACTTGAAGGTGAAGAGGGTGGGGTCTACAAATCTCCCCTTGGTGATTCCTGTGCTCACTAAAGCGGTTTAGGATGTGATTTAATTGGCTCCTAACTACTTTCATACACAATCTGAAATTGCGTAAAGTTCCTTCTGGGCATACATTTCCTTGTAGGAGACCAATCAGGGGTGCTATGACCCACTTTTTTTTTTTTTTTTTTTTTTTGAGTTGATTAAGAAACTTGATTCTCCAGTGTGATTTTCAGGGCCTTTGGTAAGGAATGCGGCTTGCCTAGAACAGACAGATCTGTACATTAGGCAGCACCATTAATAAAACAAGTAGAGTTCTGATGGCTGGATCTAAACCCTCATGATTCCTTTTCCTCCTCAGCTGGATTAACTAAGGAAGAGCTCCAAATGCTGGACAAGGATTTGATGCCGTATTTCCAGCCATCAGCAATCAAATGCCTTCCTGATGAGATATTCAAAGTAGGTACCCAGTTCTTCAAGGGGAATAGGAGCTTGACCCCATTTCAAATCACATAGGGGAACAGATGGCAGGCCTCGGATTCTAGAGGCTTGCAACCAGCCTTCTTGGAAAGGGCCAGGGGGGAGCTGTATGCCAACAATGAATGGGTCACATGATAATTCTGGGTTAAAATTTTTTTTTCTTAAAACTGTATGTTTTTTTTTTTTTTAATTTTTTTTTTTCCAACGTTTATTTATTTTTGGGATAGAGAGAGACAGAGCATGAACGGGGGAGGGGCAGAGAGAGAGGGAGACACAGAATCAGAAACAGGCTCCAGGCTCTGAGCCATCAGCCCAGAGCCTGACGCGGGGCTCGAACTCACGGACCGCGAGATCGTGACCTGGCTGAAGTCGGACGCTTAACCGACTGCGCCACCCAGGCGCCCCAAAACTTTATGTTTTAATTGTAGTTATTTTTATGGTTGTCTTCCCTTCATAGCAGGTGGTATTGATTTTCTATTTATGATGGTAGGACAGGTTCATATTTCTTTATCCAGAACCCTTGGGGACAGATATATTTCAGAGTTTAGAATTTTCCAGATTATAAAAAGATCACTCTGTGAATCTACAGTATGTAACTTAACACCCCCAGCAATGTCTGGGGAAGCACCTTACGCATTAATATTTCTGTGAAGTAATCAATGACGTCACATTAATTGGAATAAATAGAGACTCTAAATGGCCTTCAATCAATTCAGGTTTTGCAGGCAAAGAAGTTTGTCTTAAACTTTGGAAAACACTTTCAGCTTTGAGACATTTCTGGATTTCAGAATTGCCAATGAGGGATTGTAGACCTATATAACATTTCCTTATTATTTTTATTTTTTAAATTATTTATTTATTTTTAAAAATGGTTATTTACTTATTTTTGAGAGAGAGAGAGGTCGCAAGCTGGGGAGGGGCAGAGAGAGAGGGAGACAGAGAATCCCAAGCAGGCTCTGCATTGTCAACACAGAGCCCGATACGGGGCTTGAACTTACAAACTGTGAGATCATGACCTGAACCACAATCAAGAATCTGATGCTTAACCAGCTGAGCTCCCAAGGTGCCCCATAACATTTCCCTTTTTTTCTTTTTTTTTTTTTTAATTTTCTTTTTTCTTTTTTAAAATTTACCTCCAAATTAGTTAGCATAGAGTGCAACAATGATTTCAGGAGTAGATTCCTTAGTGCCCCTTATCCACTTAGCCCATCCCCCCTCCCACAACCCCTCCTGTAACCTTCAGTTTATTCTCCATATTTACAAGTCTCTTCTGTTTTGTCCCCCTCCCTGTTTTTATAGTATTTTTGTTTCCCTTCCCTTATATTCATCTGTTTTGTCTCTTAAAGTCCTCATATAAGTGAAGTCATAGGATTTTTGTCTTTCTCTGACTAATTTCACTTAGCATAATACCCTCCAGTTCCATCCACGTAGTTGCAAATGGCAAGATTTCATTCTTTTTTGATTGCCGAGTAATACTCCATTGCATATATATACCACATCTTCTTTATCCATTCATCCATGGATGGACATTTGGGCTCTCTCCATACTTTGGCTATTGTTGATAGTGCTGCTATAAACATGGGGGTGCACGTGTCCCTTCGAAACAGCACACCTGTATCCCTTGGATAAATGCCTAGTAGTGCAATTGCTGGGTCGTAGGGTAGTTCTATTTTTAGTTTTTTGAGGAAACTCCATACTGTTTTCCAGAGTGGCTGCACCAGCTTGCATTCCCATATAACATTTCCCTTTTAAATGAATTTAAGTAAAAATATTTTAGTTGGTTTAAGGAAAAGTGGTAAGAAAACATCAAAGGAGTATGTTAGCTAACGTGACAATAAATTATTAAGGGAAAAAAAAAAGAAAACCTCAAAGGACAGGTGACGATGCAATGGAAAAAAATTGGCAGGGTGGCTTTGGGTCAACTGTAGTGGGGTAGTCAGTGAGGGGTCCTTGCTTCGTGTCCCCGTACAAGACTAGTGTTTGGTGGGGACGGTGTGCTCTGATGAGGAGTGGCCCTGGTACTCTTGCTTGCTGGGTAACTTGGAAATACATTCCGTCCACCACAACCATGTAAGACACACAAACGAGGCCGGACAGACTCCTGCGATGCCACATCACTGGTTCATTTCAAGACAGGCGGCAGACCTCGAATGACTTCAGAAGACAGGACAGATGCCAGCACAGACAGTTCCCCAGCTGTTTCTGGGAGATAAATCGTAGTCCTTGAGGCTACAGAGCTTCCCCTCTGGGGGGCTCTGCATGGGATAGGCAGCTTGGTTCTGGATGCTGCACACTGCTGAGCACTTTCTCCTGGTCTTGTTTGGGATGCACTTTGTGGTTGCTTCCTTGTTTGGGTATTTATGTCAGAAATCCCTACTGACCACTCCCCTTCTGTGGGCTCCGGGAGAGATGCCCCCGGGGTGTAACCCAGTGCATGCTGGGCCTCAGAAGGTAACATGAAAGAGTGCATTGGCCTGGGTGGAGTCTCAGGTGAACTGTGTAAACTTAGCCCTCTCTAAACGGGGAAGCTGCGTCTCGTCTCTGGCACCTCAATGCAGTGTGACAATCTGGGATCACTATTACTGGATCTCCCTTTTTTTTAATTTTATTTTACAGATTCCAGAGGTCTCCATTTTCATGTGAAACCTCCTGATAATTAAATGTTGGCAACCACTTTTAAATTTATTTATTTTTTTAAAACAGAGTCCGGTAGGCCTAGAGATTCAGCCTGGCCTCTGGGCTGCAAGCCAGCCCCATTGGAAAGATAGATAATTTTTATAGTACAGACTCCACTAATGGTAGATATAAGGTGTAAGCCAGAAGAGTACCTGTGTTGGGTGTGTCTGTGTGTCTGAGGGAGGAGGTGATGCTGACCTTGTGCAGCAGGTCAGCTAGGTCGGAGGGAGGAACGGTGTGGCACACGGAAGGGCAGGGCAAAGGTGCTGCCTCTCCTGAGGGCTACAAATACGGGCACTCATTCTCCTGCAGTGAAGAGTCCTGGGGGGAGGCAGCTGCGGAGGTGGGCTTGGCCCAGAGTATGAAGTCCCCATTGCCCCATTCAGGAGCCGGAACTGTGTCCTGAAAGCGGGGGGCAGGGAAGGGTTCCAAGCAGGGGAACAACACGATTCCAGGGAAGCATCTCCTTATGGAATAAGAAGAGGGTGAAGGAAAGAAGAGGGGCGGGTGAGGGGGTGTAACCCCTTTCCCAGAATCTTTGGGGTCCTTAGAAAATAAGCAACATAACTTTAAAAGCCCCTCTACAAATTCAGAATCCTGCCATCCCATCTCATTCCAGACCCACTGAAACTAGCCACCAAGTCCTCTGAGCTAGATGCGACTTCAGAAAACATCTTCGTCAGGGTCCTCAAAGACCCTAGTGTCCTTGGCAGAATTTCCCACTTCCAGTGCCCATGGCAGACGTCACTTTCCTCCACTGAGCCCTCACAGGACCCACCCGCATGGTGTGCAGGCAGTCATCAGAATCCACACAGGAGATGAGTTCTCTGTGCCATTCCACATCTAGTCTAGAGCCCAGAGAGGCTGTGAAACTTGCCTAAGGTCACACAGCAAGTATATGGCAGACATAGATACTAGCCATATGATATTGGCTGGGACACAGATTCAGATCTTTAGCCTTTAGGCTTGTGTTTTCTTCTCTAAATCAGTGTTTCTCAGGTGGGGGACCTGGAGCCTGGAGAAGGAGGTACCTTGTGCTGGATTAAACAACATTAAGTCACACAGTGAGAAAATCGTGACTCTCTTTTCAACTCTCTGTTAATGCTGATTACTTCAAGGAGGAAGTCTCAGTTTGGAGCTAAAACGTCTTTAACACCTCTATAACGCTTAAAGCCTCCTTTTTATTACATTTTAAGAGATGTGGGTTCAGAAATTGTTGGCCCACAACTCTAGCTAGAATTCAGGAAGGTTGTTTCATTTCTTTTGGCCTATTGTTAATGGTTACTGATGGCAAGTCACTCTGGTCTTCCATTTTTGGAAATTTCCACTTAAAATTTTCCATTTAATTTAATTTATTGATTTATTGATTTATTTATTTATTTATTTTTCTTTTATTTTTTTAAATATTTATTTTTGAGAGACAGAGTGAGACAAAGTGAGACTGGGGGAGGGGCAGAGAGAGGGAGACACAGGATTGGGAACAGGCTCCAGGCTCTGAGCTGTCAGCACAGAGCCTGACGCGGGGCTCGAACCCACAGACTGTGAGATCATGACCTGAGCCGAAGTCGGACGCTCAACCGACTGAGCCACCCAGGAGCCCCAAAATTTTCCATTTTAAAAATAAATTTATTCTAGCAGTGAAAGAGCGAGGAGATTTTAGGGAAAGATCCTCAAGAGGAGCAGAAAGGGTACACGGGTGTGGCAAAGTTGTGCGCGGCCCTGGACGGGTGACCGAGGTTTGGGTAACCCGCGGAGGAGACCCACTGAGGGCGCTGTTCCCCCCCCACACCCATCCCGCTGCAGGAGCTGTCCGCGGAGCAGATAGCCTCCTTGGGTCCCGAGAACGCAGCGGCGGTGACCCCAGCCCAGCGCAGGCAGCTCAGCGTGTTGCAGCTGCAGAGCCTCCAGCGGGCGCTAGATGGCGCCAAGACTCGCTCCTGGCTGGACACGCCCCCGAGCGCCAACCCCACCAGGACCGTCTCCTCCGCTTCTACTCTAGGTGAGGGGGGGGACACTCTCCCTGGTCCTCCTTAGCCGTGTTCCCTGTTCTTGGGCGGGGACCTTCCTAAGATTAAAAGTGGGGTCTCTCATAGTCATCCGAGACTCTGCATTCAGAGAAAAATCTAAAGTCCGTAGCAAGCGTCTGTAAATGACCCTCAACTCTGCCTGTACTTTGAAGTCACCTGGGGGAACTTAAAAAATTAAAAGAAAAAAATTTTAAGTTTATTTATTTAGAGAGAGAGGGAGAGAGAGAGAGAATGAGAATGAGAATCCCAGTCCCAAGCAGGCTCCACACTGCCAGCCCAGACCGGAGCCGAAAGCAGGAGTTGGACTCTTAACCTGCCGAGCCACCCCAGGTGCCCTGGGGGAACTTTTAAAACAGCCAGTTTCTGGGACCCCATCCAGAACTCGTTGAATCAGAATCTCTCGAGTGTAAATGCATTTCACCGGTTCCTTTGCATCCTACCTCCTTCTCACTGAGCACTATTAATTAATAAATTCGACCAGTATATATTATTGGGCACCTACTATGCATCAAGCCTGCAGCAGGGGCTGGGCATATGGGGGTGAGCAAGACAGGTGAGGCTGTCTTGTAAATGAACAAGATGATTTCACATCCAGGAAGACCAGGGACGGAAGGAGGCAGAGGGAGGTGGGGGTGACTAGGGCTCAGCTAGGATAAGGGGATCAGGGATGTGTGGCTTTCCTTGCCTTTCTTTTCTCTTCTCTTTCTTCCCCCTCGGTCTGTCACTTCTTTGTGGCCCCTCCTATCTTTAGTGAGCACCATCTCTGGACAAAGCATGGTGTTGGACTCTGGGGAGATAGCAGAGAGCAAGCCAGATGTGTTCTCCATGCTCACTGAGCTACCAGTTGAGCCTGGGATTGAGGGAGGGCCTACGTAGCCAGGCGACCATGAGGCAGTATGACAGGTGCTGTGATGGGGAACACAGGCACTGAGGGATCACACGGGTGAAGCAGCTGACGTGGGCTTGGGGGGATCGGGGAGTGCCCGTGGCAACCTCCCAAAGATGGTAATGTCTAAACTGGAGCCCAAGCTGGGGAGAAGATAGACTCAGCCCCATGGACAGTGTCCCAGGTAGAGGGAGCAGCGTCAGCAAATACCCAGGGAGCGAGGAGAACTTGGTGCTCAAAACCTCCACTCTGCCTTTTCCTGACCTGAATGTCTCCCTCCGTCTGCCCCAGCCTTCCCTTGGCGGGGGGATGGAGGACTGGGGGAATTCCCAATTTCTGCAACCACAAGTGGCCACAGACGGCACTCACAAACAGGAGCCATGACCTTTGATACACTACTATTATTTTTAAAACTTTTTATTGAAATAGAATATGCATACATTTAAAAATTACTTTTAAACATCGTGTTTTGTGTGTTTTATATACTACACACAAGAGTTAGTACACAGGGTTCAAAACAGGTAAGTAAGGTCTGACAAGGAATACAGTGAAATGTCTCCCTCTGTCTGTCTCCTGTCCCATCATCACCTTCCCTTCCCCAGAGGCAAGTGATGTTACCAGCTTCTTGTGTATCTGTCCGGAGATAGTCAGCCTGTGCATGTCCATAGATTATCTCTGCACTTTTATAAAGGGTAGTTGTACCCTTTGTTATGTATCTGTACATAGGAGCCCGGCAATGGTTGGTTTTCTAGTTGCATCATAACTGCATTTAACCAGATCTCTACAGACGGATAGGTCAGTGTTTTCTTTAAAAACAAAAAACAAAAAACAACTTACAAACAAGGCTGCAGGGAATAACCTTTTATCCTTTGCATCTGTTCAAGTATATCTCCAGGATAAAGTCTTCAAAGTGGTATTGCTAGGTCAGAGGGTATGTACATTGGTAATTTTGACGGATATTGCAAAATCCCCTGTAGAGAGGCAGGACTAGTTTTTCCTTGAACCAACAGTGTCAGAAAGTGGTGTCCCTGTGGGACCTTAGATGCCCTACTCCTTGCATTCATCCCACAGGCCCTTCCTGAGGGGAAGACCCTTACTCTCTTGTTTCTTAAACTCGCTTCATTATCAGGACCACCTGGGAGGGATCCTTAAAATACAGATTCCTGGGCCACGTGTCAGACTTGCTCAATCACAATCTCCGGGGGGGAGGAGCCTGGGATTTGCATTTTTAACCATCTCCCCAGGTGACTCTTAGGATTGAGGCAGCTCTGGTACCAGCTGATTCACATAATGACATTGAATTCTCACTTCTCGGGCCCTGCATTCAGGTCATGATTCCCACGTAAGAGAAAAGAGCAAACAAACCGCGTTCCGGGGGGAATCACGTGAATGGGCCAGAGGGAGACTCAGGGAACTGGGCATGATGCATCTGCCCACGACCACCCCTCCTTCCCCCGCGGGTTGCTGAGGCCTCCTGTGCATCCCTGTTTCCTTTTAGGAGCCCCCAGCACCTGGGGTCTTTGGCTCTGCTGTCCTTTGCTGGTTCTTATGGCCGAGACCGTGTGAGCAGCGTGTGTGCATCGCCCTTCAGTGCCCAAGCAGCCGGCCCAGGGTGTGTGGAAACAGAGGCACTTCAGACTGTGAGACCCCCTACCCCAATCCACAGCCTCCGCTGGGGCGGGGAGACCCCAGGGCCTTGAAATTTCAAAGGCACCAAAAGGAAGAATAATTGTTAAAAATGATTTTAAAAGTTCTTCAGCTGGCTTGTGTCCTCAGCAGAGAGACGTTCTCTGCCCCGTTTCAGCCTCTCTTGCTTTCCAGCTTGGAGACAGAGAAACTGTGGGTGGGAAGGGTGTTTTCTGTCAAGGGCATGAGGACCTGACGCCCGAGTTCCTGGCATCTCTCTCTGAAGAGAGGGCAGTAACTTGTGCGTAAGGATTGGCGGGTGCTGGCAGTGGTACCATTTTATCCAGGACCTGATCTGGCTTCTTCTCTGGCTTAATGTCTCTTCCTCGGAGCTATAGGCTACATTGGATTTCTCCTTCTTAGGTATTTAGCAGAGCCGAAATAAATGAATCCCTCAACAGAAGCCAATATTCCTGCCTGATTGCTGGGGCTAATTGATGTTTTGGTGGGCATTGCATTGCCTGGAAATTAAAACATTTAACATGGCTCAACGTTAAATCAATTTTTAAATACATTTTCCAGATGCCTTCCATTTCTTTGGGAGTCAGCTGAATGAATGGCTGTGGAGTTATCCGTTAAGCTTTTAAAACAGTCCTTTTTTGACGAAGGTGGTGCCTCTTCCGGTTTTAAGTTGCCCTGGGCTTTGGGGATGGGTTGAAATAAAAAGGAAATACATAGTGCAAGTCAATCACCCATGTGATTATAGCACAGCAGGGCAAAGTCAGCCCACTGGCCCAATCCTTTTGGAGGCTGGGATGGAGTTACTTCTGGAAATTTGCAGGATGCTCTTGGCCTCGGGCTCAGGAAAGGGCAACGGCAGTGTGGTTTGCCACCTCCCAGGTGTTATGCCGTCTCAAAAATAGCAATCAGAGTCATTTCTCATGACATCCCTTAGGGAGCAAGTTAGACATCCTGGGCACTTCTCTTCTGCCACCAGCACGCCCTGCGTTCTCTTCCTGGTCACGCATCCACAGTAGATGTCTCATCTGGAGATAGGAAGAAAAGCCTGCCTGAGTTTCCAAATATCTCTGGTGTTCCATAAGAGGTGGGTGGATTTTAAAAAGCAGCATGGGTAGGTGTTGTAGAGACTGGTGTATTTTCAGATGTCACATGCAGTTATGATAGAAAATTAAAAGGCTGGCATATGGAAGGTGTGGCCCTGCAGGTGTTGTTTAGGGTCTGATTTGGTTCTTCTCTCATCCTGGCGGGGAAGTGGCAGCTCATGTTCCTTCTCAATCACAGATCATCAATCTTGTTACCCACAGCACCAGCCCCCGGTTTAGCGGGGCCAGACTGGCTGATCTGAGAGGGGTGTTGTGTGAGAATGGGTCTGTGGGTTCCAGTTGGGTCCAAGCAGGCTTGGATCCAGCTCAGGACCCACTTTCCTTCGGCCTTGGATTTTCCTGGGGAACAGCAATTAAAACAACTTTCCTTTGGGTCAGGCGTCACGCTGCCAATGGCGTGGAGCTTTTGTGTCTCACCTTCCCTTCTGATCATTTGGTTTTGATTGACTTCCTGGACCCTGCCTGCCATGTTGGATGGCGACAGTGACTCCTGGAGGGCCAGCTCTGCATCAGGCACTGCTGAAGGGGCTTTGCCTATATCGTTAACTCACTTGGTTGTCATCACAACTCTGCTACGTGGGTGCAGTTGTGATTCCCATTTTCAGATGAGGGGACTGAGCCCAAGAGGTTAAAGAACTGTGGTCTAAGGCCCCTCAGGTAGGAAGGATTTTTGGATCTTGACTTTTTACCTCACACTGTGCTGCCTCCTAGATGAGTATCTTTTAACTTCTCCAATAAGTTAGATCAGAGAGAGATTCTGTAACTCCCTTCACCTCCTCCTCTGGCGGGAGGCCAGCTTGCCTCACAGCACTTATAATTGGTGATTGCCTCAGGCAGAAAGACAAATCCAGCTTATGCCCCGCAGGACCCCTGGGGTCTCAGGTTGAGATGCGCAGGGAAGCAGCGGGTCACACTGATAGGTGTTGTTCCTGTTCACCTTTCAGTGTCAACCCGGCTGTTGCATTCCCAGCCTCCATCTTCTACAACTGGCCCCCCAGGTGGCTGCAGGGATCATGGTCACTAGCACACAGGTCGCGGTGTCATGGTCCTGATTGGTTGGGACCTGCTCCATATAGGTTGTCAGATATCTGAATATCACCCCCAGCTGGATCCTTTGGCGGAACCCCCACCTTCAGGCCCCGTCCAGATGCTGAGCGTAGCTTGTGGGGGCTGGAAGTGCTTGTGGGGGCTGGAAGTAGCTTGTGGGGGCTGCAACTTCAATGAGACCTAGAAATACATTATTCTCTCTAGTCCTGGTGCCCAGGGAGTCACCACAGTTGCTGGAGATGGGTTGCATTACCAAGGAGAGGTGGCTGCGTCTTGGGGTGTGTGTGTGTGTGTGTGTGTGTGTGTGTGTGTGTGTGTGTGTTTCCCTGGCTTTACTAAAGGAATGCTGAGAGTGACAACACAGTAAAGAGCTTAGTATTAAATATTCAATATTCCTTTGTCCTTAAGTCTGTTGCCCATTCTTACCTTTAAAAACATCTATATTGTTTCCAAGGAAAACATATATGTAATAAAAAAAATAAAATTAAACACTGCAGAATTACCAGGTCGTAGAGTGAACAGGTGCGACATCTACAAAGTATGTCTTGGGGTGAGTACCCTCTCTATAAATCCATCCCAGCCATCCAGTGATTCCTGGGATTTTCAGCCACCATAGGAGATTCATTTTATACTTCTCTGCCTTTACTGCTTATTGTTACTGATTATTTCAGAAAGGGGTATGGGCTTGTCTGACCTATGGGGAGAGATCTGCATAGGTCTTGCCCACAGGTGAAGACCTTACTGGCCTTCACCTCCATCCTGGCCTTTGATGACTCAGACTGGACATATGCTGATGAAATCTGGAGGGAGGGGCTGTCCTTAGGAGAAGACTGAGGAATTGCTTTCAGTCTCTGAAATCCTCTGGAACATTCCCATGTGTGTGGTGGACTAGATGACCATCCCCAACTCCTTTGGTTACTTCCTTTATTAGGCTTATACATCCATGCATCTCAACACCGCTGACTTTGGGCTTTGGTTGTTGGAACGTGAGCAGAAATGGTAGATTCCACAGCAGTAGTCTTACGTGTGCTCACATGATTTGGCCTGACCTGTTGGTAGTTGCTTCTCCGCGTGAGGCAATGTGTAGATGAGGAGACATAGGGAACAGACATGAACACATCCTGCAGCTTACAGCCAAGCTGAGATCAGCAGAACCCAGCAGAGCCACAGCCAACCTGAATACTCAGGAGCAAGAAATAAATACTTGTTATGGGAAGCCATTGAGACTTTGGGGTTATTTGTCACTGCAGCCAAAGCTGACTTATACACCGTGTCTTCAGCATGCCCTCCTTTGCACAGTGCTTGTCCCATGCTGTGGATTGGAAGATGATACACTTTACCCCAAGTCACACTGACTGAAAAGGAAATGGATGATTCCAGAAGAGTTCAGTTACTAAACTGTGGTAGACAGAATTCTAAGGTGGCGCTAAGCTCCTCGGTGTGCACACCCTGTGTAATCTCTTCCCCCCGAGTCCAGGCAGAATCTGTGGGTGTGATGGAGTGCCACTCCTATGACTATAGTCTTACGCTATTAGCTTTTACTAATTTTTTGACTTAATAAAAAGGTAGATTGGGGTGTCTAAGTGGCTCAGTTCCGACTTCAGCTCAGGTCATGATTTTGTGGTTCATGAGTTTAAGCCCTGCATTGGGCTCTGTGCTGACAGCTCAGAGCCCGGAGCCTGCTTTGGATTCTTTCCCCCTTCCCCCCGCCCCCTCTGCCCCTCCCAACTCATGCTCTGTCTCTGGCTCTCTCCTCTCTCAAAAACAAATAAGCATTGGGGCACCTGGGTGGCTCAGTTGGTTAAGCATCCAACTTTGGCTCAGGTCATGATCTCACAGTCTCATGAGTTCAAGCCCCACATCAGCCTCTGTGCACTGACCGCATGGAGCCTGCTTGAGATTCTCTGTCTCTCTGCCCCTTCCCCACTCACACTCTCTCTGTCTCTCTCGAAATAAATAAATAATTTAAAATTAAAAATAAATAAATAAACACTAAAAAAAAGGCAGATCGTCCGAGCGAGTCATACTTAAACTAGCTGTACCATTCAAAGGAACTGGCCCTTCCTGAAGTCAGAGGTATTCAGTGTGAGAGAGCCTATGGAGGGGACCACGTGGCAAGGACCTAGCGTGGACCTTGGAAGCTTAGAGGTCCCTGGCTGGCCGCCAGCAAGAGAATGGGGAGACCTCATCATACAATCATAAGGAACTAAAGTTTGAAAACAGCCTGCAATCTTAGGAGGGGACCCAAGCCTCAGATGGGACCCCAGCCCCAGCATGCTCTCAACCAGGTGAGACCCTGAGCAGAGAATCCAGCCGAGCCACGCTCCGACTTGTGACCTCCTGAATTGAATACACAGAATAAGGGGAAATGAGTGCAGGGCAGGCAAATGCCAGCCATGTGCAAGGAGCTGAGAAACAGGCAGCCGTCTCTGGCTGAAACAGTCTAGCTCTGGAATGTAAGCTTAGCCCGGAAACCTAACATTGCTGTGGGTGGGCATCCTATTCCTTTTCAGTTCTCCCTCAGGGATCTTTCACTTCTTGTGAAGATGGAGGCCTGGTATGTTTATTTATCTTTAGCACTTACCATTTATAATGACTCAGCATCAATTCCTCCTTCCCCACAAGACTGAATTTCGTTTGGGGAAGCATTCCTCTGGGACTGTCACTCGTGGATTAGGTGAGATGAATCCCACCTTCAGCTCCAGGGTGGGCTCTGATTCTCTTAAATCAATCCACATACCACATTCCTTAAACCATAGGGATTGATTCAGGGATGGGCCAGTGACAGCCAGGATGTGGATTTTTAAAAATTTTTTTTTCTTAATGTTTATTTATTTGTGAGAAGAGAGAGACAGAGCATGAGCTGGGGAGGAGAGAGAAAGAGGGAGACACAGAATCTGAAACAGGCTCCAGGCTCTGAGCTGTCCACACAGAGCCCAACGCGAGGCTTGAACTCACAGACCATGAGATCATGACCTGAGCCGAAGTTGGATACATCCGAAGTTGGACGTGCCCCGGATTTTTTTTTTTTAACGTTTATTTACTTTGAGAGAGAAAGAGAGCATGCACACTGGTACACGTGAGCAGGGGAGGGGCAAAGAGAGGGGGAGAGAGAGAATTCCAAGCAGGCTGTCTGCTGTCAGTGCAGAACCTGATGTGGGGCTCAAACTCAGGAACCCTGACATCATGACCTGAGCCAAAATCAAGAGTTGGGGGCGCCTGGGTGGCTCAGTCGGTTAAGCATCCGACTTCAGCTCAGGTCACGATCTCGCGGTCAGTGAGTTCGAGCCCCGCGTCGGGCTCTGGGCTGATGGCTCAGAGCCTGGAGCCTGCTTCCCATTCTGTGTCTCCCTCTCTCTCTGTCCCTCCCCCATTC